AAGAAAAAACAATATCACATTTTACGACAAAACTTTGAAAACTTTTCCACTCAAAGACCACCACCCTCACCCTCGCCCTCACCCTCGTTTTACCCGATCAAATATTTTCACGACTCTGGTTATGGATTCTATTATACTATCTCCTCTTTTATTATCATAAAATCACAAACGTGTATACTATACTTAAAGCGTTGCTTAAACTCATTTTGAATGAATTTTTAGTTGTTGCGTTTCGAGTAATTTTTTTTTTTTTTTTTTTTCTTTACAACTTCACACTTATTACTAAGTCACAAATCACCATGAAACACTTTTTCAAAAATTATTGTTATTTATTATATATTATTAAACGTGGAAAACAATATAACAAAAATGAAACGACAGATAAAGATAAAGATTAGGAAAAAGATAGATAGATAGATAGGGGGGAGACAAATAGAAAAGGGTGGACAGGGAGGAGGAGAAGGGAGGAATTAGAAGAAAAAAAAATTAAAAGAACTGGAATTAAGCCAGGGCTAGTAGCCAATTGGTCGTCCTCGTGAATCGGACCGTCCAATCATCTGGTTTGCCAAATAATTCTGAGACAGTCCAATCTTTTTTTTTTCTTTTCTCTTTTTCTTTTAAATTAATTCTTAATCGTAACCAATCGTAGAGACAAATGAAATTTGTCGTACGACAAATTGCGAGCTCTCCGTATTTATTGGCATCGAAATTGTGGCTTTTATGAATATTTCTACAATTTTTGTTGTTGTTTAATCGTATTATTGATAATTAAAAAAAAAAAAAGTATGCATAGTATTTTAATTAGCATGATAATTGGTTATCTATCAAACTGTCAATTTATTCATTGATCCTCTTCGTCATTCTCTTAATATAATTTTATTGAATTTTTCTTTCTAATACTATAATAAAACGATTTATTTTTTATTTAAAAAATAAACAAGAGATAGAGCAAAGAAAAAAATTATAACAAGAGAATTGATCTTTCGTCAAAGTTAGAAATTATTTCCAATCAGTCAGTAATAATTGTCCTTCGTATTTTTTCTCTCAATTCTCATTTTATATATAATCCATGTGATTATTAATTTTTTCCATTAAAAGCAAACGTTAATAATCGTATATACAATGAAATATTATTAAATTGAAATTTCTGAAATATTTTCTTTCTCTCTCTCTCTCTCTTTCTCTCGAGTCTGTGTCACAATAGAGAAAAGAAATCGTAGATGATATTTAAATCATTGTAAAAGTCAAATACGAAAGTGGAACGAGATAGAAACTTGACTCGGAAAAATAATAAAGAAGAAAGAAAGGTAGTAAAGAAAGAAAGAAAAAGAAAAAGAAAAAGAAAAAATAGAAAGAAAGAAAGGATCCCGTATGCATCAGACATCGTTATACTAAAAAGTGAAAAAAAAAAAAAAGAAAATAGTTTATCATTTGTGATAAGATGAAAGTCGTGCATTTCTTTTTCATCTTCAACGAGTTTCTATCCTTCCCCTCCCTCCCCCCCTGCCCTCCATTTTTTATATTTACGTTTATTATACATAATATAAATTATATTAAAGTAAAAAGAAATGTGTTCGTGAAAGGAAATGAAAGATTTGTGTATATGTTTATGTATATGGGTTTATATGTGTGTGTGTGTAATACTTTGAAACGAGTTTTTAATCGGTTTCATCCGTTTTCACTGAATATGCATCTCGAATTAGCATTTAATCTCGAAACGAAAAGTATCCGTTTAAAAAAAAAGAAAAAAAAAAAGAAAGAAAGAAAAAATAAAATAGAAAGAAATTCCGTATCTTTCGGAATATTTTAAGCAGATATTTCGAGAGTATTTCGGTTTGATGTAATAATTGATATTGCATTAAAAAGACTATGCTAATTTTGTTTTATTCGTTAACCAATCGTGATGGAGGACAACGAGTTGTTTTATACTCGCGCGTTTTTAGAAAGAATATTTAATTTCTTCTTTAGGGAGGATAAAAGAATAAATAAATGATTTATTTTTAAAGATTCTCTCTTTCTCTCTTTTATTTTTTTTTTTTTTTTTTTTTCAATTAACAAAATTATTATTATACCGTCGTTATTTGTCGTGTTCACTATGTTTTTCAATTTATCCAAATTGAATATTCATTTCAAAATATATTTGAAACATTTTATGATTATTTAACAGTGAATAATTATAAACTATATAAGTGAACTCAATTTTCTATGAGCTTTCACTTGTGGTTAAAAAAGGAAAATAAAGAATAGAAAATAATCATGTACCTGAAATAATAATGGTTCAATATTATAATATATTTAATCGTAGAGAGAAATTATATATATAATTGAAGTCAAGGTTAATATATTATATTTATTAATTTAAGATAATATGATTATTATATATCTAATTACAAATAAATTTATCTTACTGCTTAATAATAATACCATACAATAATGAACGTTTGCACGTTAATAAATAAAATGAAGCTTTAATAATCATCAATATACAGTAACCTAATTTAAAGCTGACTAAACAGATAATAGAATAGCTGATATTATAAAACAAAGATTAATCTTCGTTCATTAAGAACGAAATTCTTTCTATCTTTTCATTAGGTTATAACATAATCCAATAATCTACAAGTTAACTTTATATTTTAAAACCATTTCAATTTAGGAATTCAACGATAAATAATTTCTACTTGACAATGGAATTAAAACAAAAAAAAAACAAATGAAGAAGAAGAAGTATGACAATTCAATGATTATTTAATTTAAAAAGAAAAAGTAATAATAATCGTATCGATTTATAAATTGGACCAATAAACAAAATCATACCTAATCTTATCATATTTAAATCATATCAATCTAAGTATAAACCAAAGAACAAAGTTTTACTCTCCTCCCCCTGCCAATCCATTTAATTTGACCACATACAATTAACCTCATCTAATAAATACACCAACTGAAATTGAAAACTAAACCAAACCGATCTCGACAAATTTCATATGAGAACAAAAAAAATAAAGGAGAACAAATAAGAAATAAATGAGATGTATGATCCTATAAAGAATAATAATATAAGTGCACTAGAAATTCTGTGTCATATTTTAAGACTGGTTGCATTGAGAATAAGATGAAGAAGAAGAAGAAGAAGAAGGGTGCATCGATCTGTGAAGTCGTTCAAAAGGCGACTGGCATGCACAAGGAGGAGACACGAAAAAAAAAAGAACAGAAGAGAGAAAGAGAGAGAGTTAGTAGGTAGGGGGGTTAGGGGGTAGGGGGGTGGGTATCATCGTGTCTAAGTTTAGAGAAGAGCACGGGTGCGCATACCTGCTTACCCAGAATCCTAAGCGATGACATTATCGTGGGGTCAGAGTGTTTGTATCAAAGTGTGTGTTTGTGTGTCAAAGTATGTGTGCGTGTATGTGTGTCAGAGGGAGAAAAAGATAGGTCTGTGAGTTGCCCTGGACATCACACTACCATTACCACTACTACTACGCTTGCGTATCTACATGAAACTAATTATAGTTTCGCGTACCGAGCGTGTCCTAGTCCAAGCTTACTCAGCACAACCTTTATCTATCTATCTATGTATCTATATATCCTATGTGTATGTATGGATGATGGGGGGAGTATGTACTCTTTTGATCTATCTAATCCAACTTGTCACATTTTTATTCTTTCGTTACTAACAATAAGCTCTCAGCTGAAGTTTAGAAAGACTATTGTTTAGGATCGTTCTAATGTTAGTTTTTTATTGTTTAAATATATGACACGTGTTAAATGATTGTTAGAATTGAATTGGGTGGTGTAATAAGAAATCAGTAGAGTTTGCATTTTTACATGGAAATTACAAAATATGTTTGAAAGAGTTTGTTGAGTATTTTGTTTATTAGAAGGATAAAATAAAATGAGGAAGAAGTAATGTAATTCTTTTATTTTTTAATATATGACACGTGTTAAATGATTGTTAGAATTTAATTGGGTGGTGTAATAAGAAATCAGTAGAGTTTGCATTTTTACATGGAAATTACAAAGTATGTTTGAATGTTTGTTGATTATTTTGTTTATTAGAAGGATAAGTTTAAATGTATGTGTATTATTTCTATTCTGTATATTTTTATGATATACGTGGTTTACATGATGATAATTCACATTTCAATCGAAATTTTATATTAATAGAGGATGATAAATAATTGATGACATTGATTTAAATTATTCGAGTAACTCGTTATATAAAATAATAAAGATTAATGAATTAATTGACAATTGATGTTAATTAAATATTATTAAGTACGTACTTGCATATCAATTAAAAATTTGAAAATACATTTATTATTATTTAATTTTAATTGTAATATTAGAAATATATGTTTCTCTATTCTATTTCTTAATTTTTAATTTACCGTTTTTTTTTTAATTAAGATCACGTGTTACGATTAATCGGAATGTAAATGTTTGACATATTATCATACCAATTAGGATTATAAACAAATAATCAGTAAATCTTGTTAAATTCAACACGGAAGGAATAATCTATAGTTCGTGTCCTATTTGATATGACAGATTGATAAATGACAGTTAACGTGTAGGTGTGTCTTTGATGGATTAGGTAAACGCTTGAGATATGCTTGCTTCCGGATAGTTCAACACGTATTAACTATCTTAATAATACACGATAGATCAATGTACAATGATTTTAGCAAATTCCTCATCTTATGGGAATTCATGAAATTAATCGATAAAGATGTACACAGAACATCATTACCCACGGTTATATTTTGATATATCAAATTATACAATTATATAGCAAATTTTAATTGAATAAATTATAAATGTGATACAAATAACTCTTGAAATTTAATCACATTACACAATTCGTTCTAACTTTTCAAACGATTTACGAACTACGTTTAATTGTTTGTTAGAAAAAATATAGGAGAGTGGGAGAGGTGAGGGGATAGAAAAAAAATATTTTTCTAACTGGTTTTTACATTTTTTTGTTTTCCCTGTTACAGGAGGTAGGAAGTATTATTGGAAAAAAGGGAGAAATCGTCAAGAGGTTCCGCGAGGAGGTAAGTCGTTTATAACAATTATTTTTATTTTAATTACAACACACACGCCATTTTCACTTTTGTAACACCTATATAACATTACGTAACTTTATATAACAATATTTTATTTCTTCAATACTATATACAAAATAAAAAATAATATTAATATTAAATATTAGGGTTGTGGTGCGTATGAAAAATTTATGATTTTAAAGTTTTCATATATTTTTCAAAATTGAAAACTTATGATTAAATCTGCTTTGTCGAAATGTGACGACACGACACTCTGGCAATGAACGGGGTACGGTTATAAACGAAATAATACCAAAAAACAAAAATATAACGAAAACATGGGGGAGTCACAAACGTGCTCACATCTAAAAAAAAATCTTCTTCTTCCTCATTTTATTAGGACTGTTGTCCTGTTATAATAGCTTTTTTTTATTGCTACTTCTAAAAGCGATTTATTGTAAAATCCAAAAATTTCATATGCACCAACCCAATAATACTTGTATATACGATTAAAATAAAATTCTGATTGATTGATTGATTTGAATATAGTCCGGTGCAAAGATCAACATATCCGACGGATCATGTCCCGAACGAATAGTGACCGTAACCGGGCCAACGAATTCAATATTCAAGGCGTTTACATTAATATGCAAGAAATTTGAGGAATGGTGCTCCCAGTTCCATGATATCCAGGGTGGTGGAGCCGGTGGTGGCGGTGGCGTACCAAGGCCACCTATTACACTGAGACTGATCGTACCAGCTTCTCAATGCGGTTCTCTCATCGGTAAAGGTGGCTCGAAGATCAAGGAAATTCGTGAGGTGACAGGGGCCTCGATTCAGGTCGCCTCTGAAATGTTGCCGAATTCGACTGAACGGGCGGTCACCATATCAGGCACGAGCGAAGCTATAACGCAGTGCATATATCACATCTGCTGTGTTATGCTAGAGGTACGATTTTAAATAACATTTTCAAAGATTTCTATTGCGATAATAGTAACTTTTTTTTTTTCTCATTAATTAAATTGTCATTTTAAAATACAATCGTAGTAATTGACGACAGTATTGTTCGTGTATAAGGGATGTTGAGTAGTTTTAGCCAAACTATTACTCACCCCCAAAGTAATATACCAGACAATACTATCAAATAATTTCATTAAAATGTCACTTAAATCGAAAAATAAAACGATAGTTATTTTAACACGTTCGTCATTATCCAACCATGGAGATTCGATTGAGTTTCCTTCAGGAAAGAAACAACCATATCCTTAATCGAAACACGAGTGTATTATTAACTGAACGAACCTGTTAAAATAAGCATTTATCAACACATTATGTGAACGCCAGGCGAATTCTTAATTAAATCTCGGATCAGACTTTAAACATTGAACTTTTCCATTTGGGCCGCGTCAGTCACCGGTGATCGACACTCAACTTTTTTGTTTTTTTTTTTCTTTCAATAGCAAGTAACGGCGCGTGGCTTGATCGGGACACGGGATTGATTCTTAACCCGTGCACATTTTAATTATTAGAAAAAGTATAGCGTTAGTACGAAGTGTACTAACGCATACACTTGTTAATTATTGATTAATACATTAAAAAAAAAAGGTACAGCATGGCAGATAGCATATCAATTGTTTTTTGTATGCGTTTTCGCATGCCCTGTCGCTCCGAAATAAAAAAAAAAGTATGTTTCTGAGCACGATCATCAAATTAAAAGTGTGCGGCAACGGGTTAAACATTTGCGTGGCGTTTACAATAACGTGTTATATAACAATGCCAAATAAATGAAGATATACGATTGATTGTATTGGGCGTTTGGGCGTTGTTCTGTTTTTCTGTTTCAGTCCCCTCCCAAAGGTGCCACGATCCCTTATCGCCCCAAACCCCAAGTTGGTGGGCCACTGATCCTGGCTGGTGGGCAAGCCTACACCATCCAGGGTAATTACGCGGTGCCCGCCCACTCGGACGTAAGTACAGTATTGCCATTGCCCGCGCCCGCTGCCGGGCCCACCCCGCCCTCGCTGAATACCCAAACTTTGACTACCTCGCCCTTCGCGGCCCACCCCTCCTCCTCGGCCTTTGCCGCTTCTCACGGGCATCCGCTCCTATCAACCGCCCACCTTACCAGCCCACATCATCCTCTACACCCGAGCCCCTTACACGCCAGCGTGGCAGGCCTCGCCGACCCCCTGCTGAAGAGTGGACACTTGCAGGCAGCCCTCCCGCCCGCACACCTCGTGGCAGACGCCGTAAGTCTTTTGTTTTTCGTGATCCACCCCGAATCCACCAAGAACAACAATCAACCAACAACCGTCTCTCTCTACTACTGCCACCACCACCACCACCCTTGTTCAGAAAATCAACAAACTACCCCCACCCCAACCTTACTACCAACACCACCATATTACCCTGTATAACCTTTCTCCCTACTATATCTTTCAAACTTGTCACCCCCCCCCCTCTCTATCGTTGATTGATATCGTCTCTCTATGTATTATATATATACGCACACATATATCCATACAATTTTAGATTTATTGTATATATATATATATGTGTGTGTGTTAATATATATCTCTGTCTCTTTTCTTATTCTTATTCTTCTATATTCCGATACACTCCTACACGAATTATACATATAGTTCACTTACACACCTGCATCGGACACTTCTTTATTCTATTTAACTTATCTTTATCCCTTATCCCTTTTGGATAGGTGGTTCTTTATCTACAGTTTGATACAAAGAATGGACTCGATTATTTTTTCATTGAAAATGGTTTTTTTTTTTCTTTTTGTATAGTTTGCTACAAAGGATGATTAGATTTTATTCTTTCATTTGGGATAATATTTTTTTTTTTTTTTTTTTTTTTTTTTTTTTTTTAAAAATTTTTTTTTTTTTTTTTTTTTTTTTTTTTTTTTTTTTTTTTTTTTTTTGTAAGTTAATAC